CTTAGCTACTGCTCAAGTGCAATGCCTGCTTGCCTGCTGCCATGCTCTCTGCCATGATGGTCATGAACTCTACCACCCCCCAAAACCATGAGCCCCAAATTAAATGCTTCCTTTATAAGTTTCCTTGGCCATGGTGTCTCTTCATAGCAATAAAAAGGTAACTAAGACGTAGGATGGCCATTTTCACAATATTAATCCTATTAGTCTATGAGCACAGGAGATTTTTCCATCTTCCGGTGTCTTCTTCAATTCTTTCTTCAGCGTCTTAAATTTTCTATTTTACATGTTTTCTACTTGCTTGGTTAGAGCTATCCCACATAGTTTTTAGTGGATGTTTATCTAGAAGCTTCACCCATATTAACTAGTGTTCACTGTAGCGGGAAGTACTCTGCACACGACTAGAGGAGAAAGGTACTCAGCAATATCACCCAGCCATAAACTCTACAACCTACAACAATGACCTGCGTGCAAGAGAGTGCGGCATGACAGTGGCATAAATGTGGTGGGAGTGACCAGCTGCTTTCTGATGGGCTTGAAGACCCACTCGATGAGGTGGAATCCATATCTGACATTGCTAAGCTGGCCAAGAACCTGAGACTAGATAAGTCATAGGTCAAGAGGAAAACCACATACTACTATCCTGCTAAAGGAATATAGCAATAAAAAGACTCCAAGTGACATACTGCTACACTGATAAATCAGTGCCTCACTCAGCCCTCATCAGAGAAGTTTCTTTTTGCAGCAGATGGTAACTAATACCCACAACTAAGACCCACAACTGGACAATATACAGAAAGTGAAAGACTTCAGAGCACTCAGTCCTCTATGGGATTCTTCTTCAAAGCCCTCCCCTCAAGGCTCAAAGATCCCTGTGGAAGAGGAGGCAGAAAGACTGTGACAAAGGTGATGGATGACTCCAAGGAAACAGTGTCTTCCAGACACCACAGGACTGTCGCACATCTGAACTCACAGGACTGTGGCAGCACGCACACGGCCTGCACAGGTTCAAGCCAGACAGGGTCCCATCACTGAGAGGGAGAAGTGGAGGTAGGCGCCCACTCTAACCAAGAGGCTATCTGCAACTGATGCCCACTGGCAAAGGAAAAAAATCATTTTCTTCAGTGGAGTCTCACTGGGTATATAGACTGTACTCAGGGCGGGCCCCACACCCAGGGATATCTGGACAACACAAGGCAAACTCAATGGCCTTCTTGTAGATCTTTTGTCTCATTTTATTTTGTTTCAGCACTTTTCTTGTCTTACTGGTCTTCTGCTTTTTTATCTTGACTTGTGTTTCTGTGGGTTTGTGTGTGTGTCTCTTGTGGTGGTGTTTGTTTTGTTTTTTTGTTTTAAAGAGAAAGAGAGAAAGAAAAGGAACATACATCTGGATGGGTAGGGAGACAGGGAGGATCTGGGAAGAACTGGGGAAGGAGAAAAACAAGATCAAAATATATCCTATAGAAATCTGGTTTTTTTTTTTAAGTTATCAAACAAACAAAAACCCTAAAGGTTGAATCACACCTAGCCAAAACGTGCATGGCTAAGCAAATATTCTCTATATTCATCAAGTTTAGAGCTGAAGAGCTGGGAAAGAGGAGGGTGGTGGCCTTTTTCTTTTGACACACCTCAAAAATGATGTGCAGAAAACTCATTGGAAATTCTATTGCCTAGCCTACATACTTATTTAAACTTTAAACCTAGCAATTTAGACTTAACTGTAACCCAAAGTTGAAAGGATCTGATTGAATTGGAAAAAAAAAATTGGGAAGGAGTAGATTGCTGTCTTCGCTAATCCACCCAGCAGCAGACATGCTAACCACAATATTTATCTTAGCAAATGTAGAGAAAGTGAAAAACATCACATTCACCTCTAAGATTCAAAGCCTTAAGCTTGTCTGTTTCTTCTTTTTTTTTTTAACACGTAGATGAAAAATCTGATGCCTGAACTGACACAAAGACCACAGCTGACAGCCCCACTTACCAACTGAACAAACACCCTATGGGAGATTAGATGTGGCCATGTTCTCCCTGAACAACCACATTGTCAAAGCCAGAGCCCTGACCTAAAACTATCCACAAAAACAGCCAGTCCAGCTGACACACACCACAAACTAGAACTCATCAGGCTCTTTCTTCCTTAGGACCAAAGTATTCAAAAATTAAACTAAACTCATGGTCATAATATTAACCACTATATTTCAGTAAGGTCTACCAAAAACTAACAGGGCTACCCTGCTCCAAATGCAGGGCCTCACTCTGCCTCTCATCGCGCAGTGCTGAGGCTGGAAGCCAACAGCCTCTTCTTTCATACCTGCCCCCAGAGAAGTGACTCAGACCCACAGCTCGTCAAAGTGGCTACAGGGAGAAGTCTCTCTGGCAGGCTTTATGTTCTGTGTTGTTTTTTTACTGACAGATGACAACTGTGTGTGCTTATGGGGCACAGAGTGATCGCTCAGTACATATTTGGCCAGTGGAAAGATCCAATCAGTCACCGGCATCTCTATCACCAGCCAGGAGAGTCTGTACTTGGCCTTGTGGGAAGGACTGAAGGATGGGGCTGGGTGGCCATCCTTTAAGAGACAAGAGCAAATACATGCACATGAATTCAGAGTGAAGGGGGTATCTTCCTTCTCAAAGCAGGAGATCCTCTGTAAGTGAAGAGGAGGACAGTTAGCAATGCAGGACCTGGACCTCCAGTTCACTTCTTTGGGGAAAGGCGGCTACAACCCACAAAGCCAAGAGTCCCAGAGATGCTCTCTCTAATCCTCGCCCTCATCTTTTAAATTTTCTTTTATGGTTCCCTTCCCTAGTCATCCTTGTACTTCCATCTTAGATTATGTCAACACCTTCTTACCTCATACACCCTTTCTTCTCCATCATCATCTTCATCATCACCACCACCATCATCACCATCATCATCCCATCATCACCACCACCATCACCACCACCACCACCACCATCACCACCATTACCACCATCATCATCATCATCGCCACCACCACCATCACTACCATTATCATCATCATCATCATTACCACCACCATCATCACCACCACCATCACTAATCATCATCACTATCACCACCACCACCACCACCGTCATCATCATCATCACTGAGGACAGGATTTTAGTAGTGCTCCACCACATCTAGTATTCCTTTCTTATTAAAAATCAGCCAAACAAAACAGACATTCTGAAAACTGGTCATGTTATAGTAACAAGGTTAAAACAAACAAACAAACAAACAAAAAAGCCAGGCGGTGGTGGCACACGCCTTTAATCCCAGCACTCGGGAGGCAGAGCCAGGTGGATCTTTGTGAGTTCTACAGAGCGAGATCCGGGAAAGGCACAAAGCTACACAGAGAAACCCTGTCTCGAAAAACCAAAAAAAAAAAAAAAAAAAAAAAAAAAAAAAAAAAAACCTGAAAAACAAAAAAACACCTGGCATAATAAAAAAGCAGCTATGCTTTTGGACATCACATAGGGCTATTATTTAAAAGAGCTATTTAGTGGGCCAGGGAGATGGCTCAGAAAGTAAAAGCCCTTTTTAAACAACAAGACCACCTGAGTTTGATCCCAGGAATTCATGTGAAAATGGTATTTGAGTTGGTGAGACGGTCAGTCAGTAAAGGTGCTTGTTCCCTAACCATTTGAGCTTGGTCTTCCAGACCCAAATGGTAGAAGGACACAGTCTTGCCAGTTATGCTCTGACCTCCACACACATGCCATGGCAAGTAAACAGACAGACAGACAGATACACACACACACACACACACACACACACACACACACACACACACACTAAACACACACATACTAAAGTTGTCCTCAGACCTCTACATGAGTGCTGTGGCACACATGTACCTGCATACACATACGTTATCATAACACACACAATAAATAAAGTTTAAAAAAATTAAAAAGCTATTTTATTCAAATTGTGGCTCCTCAAACCTAAAAAGAGCACATGACTCTTTCAGAGACTAAATATGCCACAAAGTACATTTTTAAAAAATCGCCTGAGTCTGCTGCTCTGAGTGACTGTTTCTGTCTGGAAGTGTCCAGAAAATTCTGAGTTACCTCAGAGAGAGAAATAAGGCTGTCTCCCAGCCTGGACTCTCTAGATAGTCACCACTGGTGGTTTCCAGGGCTAGCCATCATGACTTCAGTGTAAGCAGTTAAAGGGACTGGCCGTAAAAAGCACAGGTACTACTGTCAGGCAATAAACTAGACCTTATCGGTGACAGCGGTGCACATTACAAACTTCAAACTCATTCCTTGCTCTAATCCATCAGAAACTTCCTGGCTTTAATAGGCTCTAAATGGCAGGAGCTTTGAAGTCCTGGGATTAGGGTCAGGAACAGACAGGCTGAATGAGAGGCTAAATGCAGGTGGGAAGAACTCCTGTGCGTCCTGAATTAAAAACAAATCCAATTAATCAAACAGGCCTCAACCCTAGCTGCTGCAGCAGACGACAGGGATGGCCAAGGCAGGGGACAAAGTGACGCACAACTGGCCAGTTCCTGTGAGAATCCACTTTGGGCTGCAAGGCTCCAAGGGCTGGGCAGCTGACCTCCCTACCAGAACAGGAGCTATCTTTCTGTTTTGTTTTGTTTTCTTGAAGGAGGGCTCAATATCAGAACAGAGATAAGGGAGCAGAAAACTAATGCCCTTTAAACTGAGTTTTCATGTAAACAAATCGGCTGGGATGGCGGAGGGAAGCTGAGGCCTGTTTTCCCAAGGCGGATAGCCTTTGATCCCCTTGACTCCTAAGCTCTCAAACACTTGTGGCTCAGAGCATGCCAGGGCACAGAGTTCACTGGGCCACCCTAGAATCCGAGGGTGAAATGACTCAGAAGAGCAGGGTCAGGTTGCCTTAGCCTGGCAGTGTTGTTGGCAGAGGATAGGAGCATGTGTCCACCCAAAGCCAGTGCAGCCAAAGGGTGCAGGAAACCCTAAATGGGCCTTTCCCAAGCACAGTACCTCTTCATTCTTCTTACCTTCTGGGGGATTTTTATTCTGATTGTTCCAGACCACCAGCAGCTTGGAAAGACTGGGCACCTTGGACACCTCGGTGATGACCCGGAAGAGGCTCTCCACACGGTCGTAGGTGAGGACGATGGCGGTGAAGCCTTGTGACTGGGGTGGGATCAGTGGGAGGAAGAGAGGGTTGCTCACACTAGTCCACTTCTGCAAGAGGACAGGAAGGTGTGGGTCAGAGAAGCTACAGCAATACCAGTGAGAGCTAAGTCACTGCTCCAAGCATCCCCTCCACACCGTCTGGCACCACTGAAAAGGGCACAGAACACCTGAGCTGAGAAGACATTTCCACACAGCAGATTTAAAGCACACATCTACCTCCGTTTCCTCCCCAAACCACTGAGGTGGCAGTTGACGACTAGAAAAGAATATGACTCTATAATGGCAGGGAGCTGGAAGAAGAGCTCAAAGGCTGAGCGGACTGGAGAGGGCCACAGGGCGGAGTGGGGATGCCCACCTGTACCAGCCTGGGGTGGCGCTTGTGAGGGGAAGCCCAGAGCTCAGGACTCGAACTCTGTGTAGAGGTGCTGAAAGCCAGGCTGGTCAAAAAGCTGTGTCAGGAAGTCGGACTCCAGGTCACAAACCCCCCATTTTGCTCACTCAGCCAGGTTGATTCTCTGTGGAAATGGACGGGATCTCCAGACAGGCACACAGGCATGGGAGGCAAACTCAGTATAAAACTCCATTGTTAGCGAGGAGCCCTGCGGCTGCCTTCCCTGCTCCGTTCCCAGCCATGTGGCTGTCTTGGCACCTCCAGCTCCCAGGGAAGCCCTCAGGCAGTATTCAGTCCACAAAGACCTTCTGATCAGCTTTTAGCGGCTCCCTCTTAATCACGAACAGATTCTAGAATCAGACAGTTCAAGAACATCTTCAGCAGAAGTGGCACAGACCGAAGGAATAGACAAAGCTCAGAGCAGACAGACAATGGATGCACAGAACCAAGTTAAGACAACAAATGATATCCCCAGGGAGAGAAGAGCTTTCACCCATGAAAAAGCAATTTTTATTTTAAAATATCTATCAAAGATCGGAAAGAACTCTTGGATGTTAAAAACCACAAGAGATTTGTGTGTGTGTGTGTGTGTGTGTGTGTGTGTAAGGGTAAGATTTCTAAGCTAAAAGATGGTAAAATATTCCAAGCCAGTAAAAAAAAAAGGAAAAATTAGACAGAAAAGAAGAAAAAAAAAGCAGGGTAGTCCAACATCCATTTAACAGGCTGTTATACCCCGGGAGGGGGGGTATAAAAACTCCAAACCACAGAATATGAAAAAATGAATCTATCAAAGAAATTAAGCATGGTCTCGGTACATGATAGGAGAGGCAAAAGCTTCAGACTGCAATGGGCCAAGAAAGAACAAACACAGGGACATATAAAATAGAGAGAGAAATAAACAAAACAAAGAAGCAAGCACCATTCTGCACGGGGGAAGCAGGGCCACTCTCGGCACAGGTGAAGCGTTCTGAACAGGAATTCACTAGACAAGTCATAAAATCTCTCCGTAAATCAGAAATTTGGTCAAAATAGAGTTCTGAAAGTAAGAGGAAAAGGTGATAAAATACAATCTTTACCTACCATTAGAATGTTCAGTAGTTTAAATAGAACAACAGAAGTGAGAATTCCGCTCCGCTAATGACAGGCAAGAAACTATTACTAAAATGATCTTACACATTTTTAGAGCTTCCCTGGAAAGAACTCATGTTCTCTACATCCCACCCATTTCAAGAACACAGCAAGGCCTGCGGAGATGGCTCTGTAGGTAAGAGTGCTGAGCAGGCATGAGGACATCCCTGGAACCCATCGAAAAAGCTGGGCACACGCACACGCACACGCACACGCACACGCACCTGTAGGCTCAGTGCTGTGGGGAACTGAGACTGAAGGACCCCTGGGGCTTGCTAGCTACCTAGGACAGCTAAAAAGGAGAGCCCAGGCTCAGTGAGACACCCTGTCCCAGGGCCATAAGACAGAGTGGAGATCAAGACACACACACACACACACACACACACACACACACACACACACACACACACACACACGTGTGTGCGCGCACGCCTCTGACATCCTCATCTGGCTTCTGTATTTGAAAATAGGCATGTGCATCCCATTTTCCTTCTCACCCCTAGGTGCACACACATACACTACACATACACAGAATACAATGGTTCTTGTATATTACATTATTAAAAACAAACTATGATAAAATATGCAACATTTCCCACCTAAGTGACTTGTAAGTATACAATCAGTGTTATTAACTAGACCCGCAATCGTATGTTAGCATGTTAACAGCCCAGAAGAGCAGTCTCCATCGGGAGGAGAATGTGGAAAGTCCCATCTGTCATGCTGGCTGCCCTAAACTTCTCTATAGCCCTTAGACTCTGGATTCCCGAGGTGCCCTATCAATCTCATCTATGCCATTGATGGACACCCATCACCACATGTGATAACAGCTGTCTGCCAGATGTGACAGCGCGGGCTAGGAAATGTACACAAACACATGGAGTACACATGGGACGGGGACTCAGAGAGTCTGAATGGGATTCCTGCAGCCCTAATATGACCAGGATATTAAAGCCTATATAGCCAGAGATGGCCATCATTAGACTTCACAGCTGAGAGAGCCATGACATCATAGTGACTCTGAGCTGCAGTCTGAGGACAGTGGCTGATGTTAGAATCCAAACCCTAGATCTTGCTATCTCTGCCTCAAGTCTCATCCTTCATCTTGTCTTGACTTCTATGGAACTGAAAAGTTAGCAGGTGGCCTTATTCTTAAGTCACAGGTACTCCTCCAGGACCATTCAGGTATTCTCTGCCATTACCATCCCTACTCACATGCCCAGAAATTATAAGCCTTAAGGTCTACTTGAAAAACACAATTTGAAAACGAGAAGAAAAAGGGGGTGGTGCTCTTTAAAAGAAGCATGTAAGACCACCTAATGTGCAGAACTCAGGCAAGACTCACTGAGCGGCACCTAAGTGCCATGCACAGGGTTTCACATCCCTTAGCTCATTTGAAACTCGAAACACCAAGACAGCGTTGTTCTCATCACAGGTAATGGATGTTCAGGGCTAGAGACCATAAATTGTGTTCAAGATCTAACCTGTCAGTGATGGAACCTAAACAGCCCAGGCATCTTGACTCTGGAACACCAGCCCCTCCCACTTTCTACAAAGACACTCAGCTGGGTGGACTTTAGGAAGCAGAGGGGAAAGGGATGCCAGCGTTTGCTATATATCTACCTCCTCACTAAGACAGAAGTCCTGAAAATTTTTGATCCCTATTATCAATTCTGGGCCAATAAACGAGAATCTATCCCCAAGAACCTTGACTGCAGAAAGTACATACAAAAACACACCACACATACAACCCTGAGACAAAGTGGTCACATAAATTTACCAAGGTAAATATGCCACAGACGCAGAAGGAAAAACGATTAGAACAACAAAACAAGGTCTGTCCTGTGGGAGGAGGGAGGAGAATGCCAATGCACTTGGACGCCTGCACAGCATGGAGAGAAGGAGGCCCAGAGACATGCAAAGCCAGCTTCAGAGGGTAGGTGCCCTGGAATTTAACCCAGGCACCCTGAGAGCACCTGGCTCTGATTCCAAGGTGCTGCCAGGAAAAGGAGCCCTCTCTGGTGAGGTGGCAGATTTCGTCCCAGGTGTCTTTAGGAAGTGGTGGTCACGGAAGGGAAGGAGGAAAGGGGCAGTTTGCTGGGAAGAACTGCCATTTCCCACACTGCGGGCCTGTATCCCAAACAGGGCTGGAGCACCGGCAAGGCAGCACATGGCGGGCAGATGGAAAGGAGCTTAGCGGACTGAAATCTCGCCAGCCCTTTCCTGGAACTCCGGAGACTGAGATGAGCAAGGAGGCACATGTGAGCTCCAGATCCATCAGAGACAGACACTACTCTACTGTGGACACACTGCCAGGGCTCACTCAGTGACTCCCAGGGTGAGTCAGCGCATTTGGAGTGAGTCTGGGACTCAGAAGGCCTCAACCTGCGTAGGCTTTCTCTCTTTCCTAACAGCTGTGCAACTTGGGCAAAGTATTTCATGTCTTCTGTGCCTCAGTTTCTCTATTAAGTCCTCACGACATTGCTGTTACCTTTCTAGGAGGTAGTACTTGGCACAAAAGAGGGACATACAGTCCTGGGCATCCACAGACACTGGGGAGGTGAAGCCAATGGCTGATCTTGCAGAGCTGTTCTTTACATGTCTCCAAAGAGGGGCAGTCTAAGCAACCTCAGGTCTCTCTCTGTACTGAGTCTATGTGAAATCACGCCTCCTCTCCAGCATCCCCAGCATTCCCCAATGTCCTGCTTTACCTGAATTCTACCCCGGCTACTCCTCCAAATATACTATTTTTATTTCCATGATTTGTTCTTTCCCTTCGGAGCCTCTGTTTTAAGCACACCGAAGGCTCTGTGAGGGCAGGAGAGCCAGTGCCCGTGACAGTGTCCGGTGCTACTAAAAAAGCTGGAGAACAGAAGATTCAGATCCGATGACCCAGGCCCCACTTCATTTGTCCTCTATGCAGAGACAAGAAGCCCGGATTTTAAAATAGTTTCTGACTTGATTAATTCATCTTAGAAGTACTTTCCAAGAATCTCACCATGTTCAGAATAGGATTTTATTGTAATATTTAAATGAAGCAGAGGCCTTGGCATTGATTAGTGTTATGACATAAAACATATTTCTGTCAGCAGCTGTTTCCTCCTTCTTAAGAATGGGACTGTGACAGTACCTATTTCCCTGCAGAATGATATTTAAATGAGGTTGTGGATGCCAACACTTAGGACAGAATACATGGCTATTAGTTTAAAGCAAACACGAAACATACACTGACCCTCCCACTGTGTCTTTCTGTCTGCTACAGTGAGTTGGCAATGCAGAAACTATTCCTACCAGTGTTGCTTCAGGAACAAATTCATTATGTCTACATTTCCTAATCATATTCTTCAAGCCTAGATCAGTGTTCAAAATACAAAGATGAACACATTCCTCACTTGGTGGGAAAGACAGCAGGGTGGAGTGATAAATCACAATGCCAAAGAGCAGGCAGGATAACAGAGTACCAAACAGGAGTCCACCTCAGCAAGCAGAGATCCAACAACACCCCCTTCCCCTGGGGAGGCAAGCTGCA